AGAAAAAAATATAATACAGACAGATGCGTGCCACTTTTCTTCCATATTAGACGTCTATTGGCGGATCGTCCACAAATTCGTCATCGCTTTCTCCAGATTGTTCGACAACTACTGTTAATTGTTGATAAAACAACCTGGATTCTGGTTTCTCGAGGAATGCAGTTAGATCTTGCAGATCTTTCCATTTGGATTTTTTAATAGGAATTGCGCCTTGATAAAGTTTTCGTAATGTTCCTACTTCTTTTTTATTGTGATTATTTTGTGTCCTTTTGCGGCACGCCTTAATCGGTTTATTTTCGAATTTAGAATTATAATATAAACCCATATACGTACATTTATGGAAAATTAAGCGGTTATCCTTGCTGCAAAATTTAAGCATTCTGATTGGCCGAGTTGGGAAAGGGCACTTCGTTGGATATAGCGGCGATAAAAATGAAGTCCAATTTTGAAAATCAAAATTTTTACTGCAATCAATCACTTCAAATGGTGTAGGTTTCAAACGGCAATTTCGCAATTCGTCTCTCCAGTCCTCTGGTACCTCAGTGTATGCTTTCTGATTGACAAGGCTCATGTTTCGATCGCATTCAAGATATGAATGCCCTCTAATAGGGAATATTACTTTCACAATATCAAAACGATTTTTTCTTGTAACTAAGTAATGCAAGAATCGAATGATAGTAAAATTGTTATTTTGTCCTGCACAGGAATCACAAAAAATAGCTAGTTCTTTTACTTCCATGGGCAGAATATTATAAAAAAAGTGATTCAGCATGGAACAAACATCGTCAGCTCCTTTCTTAGCAACAGATTCATCGTAGGTATAAAATACAGATTTTGAATCCGACATAATATGAATGTTGAAACTGATGAAGTTTAGTTGACGTTTATAGTAATACGTCGTTGGTTGTAATATTTGGACATGGTAAGTTTGTTTGATAATCCATGCTTATACCTTCCATAGTCGAGGACTTTGAAGCACGTTTGCGGTAACTTCTTTTTAGACTATAAAATCGCTCACTTTTTTTTTAGATGTAGATTCCTTTCACGTGTCTTTTTTTCTATATCATTACTTGCTGTTTTCCTAGTTTCAAGGTCCGAAGTAGAATTTAATAATGTAGTTATCGATGATATGTCGGCTTTTAAGGAGTCACACGTGCTACAAGTGTCTTTTCGTGGATATCCGAACGATATATTAAAATTTGACTCAAAAATGTCACGGAAGGATTCGTAGGATATTTTATTGTCAACGTTTGTTTCGGAATACATTTTGTGTAATTTCACTATGTTTAAGTTTTCAGGTAAGTAAATTTTATTCGAGTCTGCTAAAGAATAATGAGATTTGCGTCCTTTTAGACTTTTAATGAACTCCATCACCTTTTACTTTGTGACTTCAGAAAGTTTGTGAGGTCGCGAATTATGTTTTCCTCGCATATCGATAGGTGCTTTCCCATTAAAAAGCAGGGAGTCTCTAACGTATCTAACTCGACGTCCCGTGATTCCATGGAAAGATAAAAAAACTTTGATACATACTGAAACATCACGAGTAATTCCATCCTCAACTATTCGAACACGATAACTAAAGGAAGCACTATTAAGTCTAGATTCTTCAGCGTTTTTTCTAGGTCGCCTGCGGTTGACAGGAAGAACACTGATTAGACCACTAATGTAAGAGTTTTGTGCATCAGTGTTACCTAATTTATTAAATTCACGAATTATTCTATACGGTTCATGTTCAGGAACCACAGTAAAACATTTAAAACGTTTACAAAAACAGTCGGGTCCCAATTCATGCGTTGTGGCACGTAAAATTTTCATTACATCTCGCCCTCTGCCAATTCTTTTACGTTTCTTCGTTTCCCTGCTTGATAGACCAGTTTCACTTTCACTGGACACTGAATAGTCACTATCCATGATAATTCTTGTGTTTTAAAAACTTTTACACTACAGAAATATGCACAACGTATCAATATACAACAGATGCACGTGGCTATGAGTGGTAAACTACCGGCTGATGCAACAATTGACTTACCGACACCAACTGATAACAGGGACTGATGCCCTTTTTCCATACACGCGCCCGGACTCATGCCATTCTTCCCCAGTATAGTAAATCTTATAATGGTTATTTTAAGGATCTACGCTGTTTTTACAGATTAACGGTATCACTACTTGAAAGTAACCTAACAGTATCACAAAAATCAATGGTGACCCCAGTTTGTTGAAAAAAATGGGCTAATGCCGTTTTTCCCCTGGACCTAAAGTAATGCCTTCACTTACTTTAGACAAAAAATAAAAAAAACTCAAAAATACGTATTTTACACCTATAAATGCTCATAAATAAACAATAACCAAAGACTTTTTGTTGAATGAACTATGGGATTGCTCCTTAGGTTACCCTTTATAACCTATGCCTAGGGTGACCATAATTTTTCAACAAAAAAAAAAGTACCTTTATAATTTTTAAGAAAATATGTACACTGCTAGTGCCCAAGGAAATTTTTCTGGTCAAAATTTTACGAATCTTTAATGAAACAATGATAAGAACGATTTTTTTAATCAAACATAAGTACATAAAAATGTATGATAAATTTTAATACTTAATTTTCTTTCGACGTTCCTTTCTGAACATCTTGATCATCATTTTGGTACCAGTCGTACTTTTTTTCCTTCAGAAGTTGTGGTTTACTCTTTAAGAACTGAAACATTTCATTACACGAAACATTGAAGTTTGTGTAGACTTGCATGATTGCTTCCAGAGTAGATATTTTCAACTGCGATTTGTTGGGACTTCAATAATTATTGATATTTGAGAATAACCGCTCAATCGACGCACTGGTTCCGGCAGACAAAAAACAAACTCACATAGAATTATGAGATTTTTCAAAGCCCTTTCTTTTTGGAAGATTTCGAGCGTCCTGATTTAATAACGGACCTATGTAGTCTTTGAAAGCCTCACACGACGATAAAATTTCAGCCCAAGAAACTTGTTTTTTCAAGTTAACTCATCCAAATAGCTTTAGTTCACTTAAATTTTCACTCCAGTTTTTCAAATGTGTTACACAATTTGAATAGAACTGCTTGACATGCGTGATAAAGATATTCCGATAGTTCACACTAAGGTCAAGGTCTTCCATATTTTCAAGTTTTGAAAGGAACTCTCTTACTTTAAGCGGTAAAAATAACTTATTTAAGCAATTTTAAAGCTTATTTATGAGTTTGAAATACTACAAAGCGGCTTCCGTTGCGCATATTTTGTCACCTTCTACATCTAAAATCACTTTGTGGAAGAGAGACGCAATGTTATGCACAAACCACATCCATGTTTTACTAATTTGGTTTTGAAAAAACTGTTTTAGAACTGTTGGACAATTATCAATCGACAAAAAATATGCTTTCAAGGATTCGAACATTTGTATAATTGGTTCAATGGCTGATATTAGGCTCAAAAATCTTGTTTTTGAAAACGACAACATTTTTTGTACTCGATATCAACAAAATCGCAAAACTGTTTTAATTTCTCCACTCGGACTGTAAAAATATAGAAATACTTAAAATTTTGACCGCAATAACCTCGATGTCTATGGGTAAGACGACAGTCGCATTTTGTAAACAGTTATTAAAAATGTGTGCCACACAACCAATTCCAATCACGGGTTTACCACGAGAAGCATTTAATTTGCTGAATAGATTATTCACTCCTTTTTTTCTCATTCCCCCAAAATTTGTATTTGTATTATGAGCAGACATTCCGATGAATTTTTGTAGTAAATTATGATGGTTCAAAACATTGACCACGTAATCTTTTAACTGCTCTGATGTTTCACCAGGTAAGTCACGTAGCTGAAGTAATTTTACTTGGACACCATTTTCTCCATCAAAATATCTTACCATTAAGGGTACAGCTTTAATTTCTCTATGATTCGATAAATCGATTGTGATGCTGACGAAATTTGCTTTTCGAAGGTCAATTTCTAATTGGGATTGAGCCTCTTGAGCTAAAACATTTTTTACAATCGCCTCAGTCTTGGTTCGAGCTGCCGCAAATTTAGGTTCAAACATGCTTACAATTAATTTTGACGTGCAGTCTAAGGATCTAAAACTTTGCAAATGCCTAATTTTATGGTAAGCAAAAGTACCTTCCTTGGCAGCAATCAACATATTTTCAGAACTTAAATTTTCTTTTTTAACAAAGGTTTCCAATTTACTGCTCTTCGCGTTCGCATTAGTAGCCAACATGTGTTTTTTCTTTGAAAAATGTTGTTTGATATTACTGCAACCACTGTTAGAAATATCAACATCACCGTTACAAACTTGGCAAAACACAATATGCAGTGAAACATTTTTGTTTCATACAAGGACACTCTGCTTGCAACTCGACGTTAAAATGGCATTTTCTTCTAGGCGGTGACACGATAAAATTGTTTATTTCAACACACAGCACAAAATAATATAAAAAACGATGAAAAGTGTCGGTAAAAAGTAATCAACAGTGAGCGCATGTATTCGAATCATAATTAAGTATATTGTGTTTGGACAAAAAGTAGGACTTAATTTTGTGTAATTAAGAAAAAGAGTACATTTAGGTGTACTTCATAAATTTTAAAGTACAATAGGACAGCGTTTGAAAAGAAAGTACTGTCCTACTAAAAAAAGTACATATGGTCACCCTACCTATGCCACATTACATAAATTCCTGGATTTCAGTGTAAAATCACCCTTTTTTCCTCCACAGCCTGGGCTATAGAACATTACTGTGAATTATGGCGAACTAATAAACTTTAAATTGTCAATAACTCATCATATCATATATTTTTGCACTTACAACATTTGTGTACTTGACAATCGATATGTTTATTTAGAATATTTTCTATTTACTAGTGAAACTAGATACATCTGTCTAGGTGCTGGATAAAAATCATATCTGACAGTATGCAAATCGGACAAAATCCGTAAAATGAGCTATAATATAATAATATAATAGTCAAACAATTTTAACTTACCTCACTATCCGAAGAATCTCCGTTGGAACTGGGTGGAGGAGGCGGTACGTCGTGCGATATTACAGACGGCGTCGTCGACGAAGACGGTGATGTTTCCGACAGAGAAATAGTTTTGATTGGCGGCGGTGGCGGAGGATGAGTCGGTTGGCCGTGCGAGGGAGGTACTGTTATCAAAGGACCGGCCGGTTGATAATACCCCGCTGTAACAAACAGAATATAAAATAATTAGTTCATTAATCTTACTGCAATTAAAATATTTATTTAAAGAAAAGATCATTCATTGTAAGTATGATGACGCCACATTGAAAAAAAAATATATTATATTTTCTCAAGCGTGTTTATAGAAGTTTTCAATGCAAAAATGCTAAACGGTCACGTTGTCCCCCTACTCAGCCAATACAGAATAAATCTAATATAAATGTAATAATAGTCCAGTCGTATAGATTTGATCTCTAAAAACTAGGCTAACAAGCTGAATTTTACTATGGTCTGTTTTTTCACCAGGAGGAGTAATTCAAATTTTCCGCGCCGTAATGCTTGTTTGCAATTGGTCCAACCGCGGGCAAGTTTACTCCACTAAATTTATGACATATTGACACTAATGACATTTGTGAAATTTATTTATTATTATTATTTTCCTCTAATATTTAATATATAAATCGATTTCTTAGTCTTTGTTTGTAATAACTTGGACTTGGTGATATGCGAATAGTATTTAATGTGATATTTTTCTAGATGATATAATATATTTATATAAATATATATATATATATATATATTTATATATATATATATATATATATAATTATATAGTGGGTGATCAAATTATTATGATCAGTCACAAAAATTTAAGTTTTTCATATTTGTTCAGAAATTTTATAATAAAATTATATGCTGATATACGATTAAAGTATGCCAATATATTTTGTCACTGATAACCTTACTTTTTTGACGTTTACCGCTCTAGAACTGTCATTTGTGTCAAATTACGTGACAACATACACATTGTGGTGAATTTACGCTTGGAGTTTACAACTGAATTTGTATGTTTTTGTATTGTTTTTGAAAGATTAGTATCGTTTTATCTTTGTAGTATGTTTTATTAATTTATTAGTGGTGATTGTGAGTGAAAAAAGAATATCAGTTTTAATTTTAAAGACATTTTCAAAACATTTCGATTTTTGAGAAGAAAATCATAATGGGTAAGGCTAAAGACGTCCTTGTGTCTAAAATGGTGGAAATAAAGACACTTTTATTGAATACAAAGCTTTCCCAACGTCAGATAGCTCAACAATGCCAAGTAGCGCAAGCAACAGTGAGCAATATCAAGAAAAAAATTGAAACCAACAAACCCCTGATTCACCAGCGTGCCCAAAAATGTGGTCGAAAGCGTGTCACTACACCCACAGACGAAAGAAAAATGAGGGATATATTCGTAAACAATAGAAAGAAGCCAAGAAGAATCCTCACGGGACTTATTCGTGAAGCTGGTATGCCAGTTTCTGACATGACAGTCCGCAGAAGGCTTACTGAGCAAGGTTTCAAATCATGTCGCCCTGCCAAAAAAACCAAAGTTGACCATCGTAATGATGAAAAAGAGACTGGAATGGGCCAAAGAACACCAAAATTGGACAATTGAGGATTGGAATAAGGTAAATTACGTCACTACTAAAGTTTAAATCACTATAACCACTGTTTTTATCCTAAAAAAAATATCTTATAGTTTTTTTTTATTCACAGGTTTGTTTCTCCGATGAGTCTACAGTGGAGATACTCATGGATAAGTTGGCCTTCGTCCGAAGGCGAGTGGGTGAAAAATATCATAAGGATTGCATAGTGGAGCGAGAAAAAGCATCCTCACAAGATTATGGTATGGTCTGTGATCAGCAGTAAGGGCACAGGAGGCTGTACATTGTAAATGGAATGATGAATCAACATCAGTATATTGAAGTTCTGGAAAAAAAACTCATGCCACAAATCAAAGACTGGTTTGGCGAATCGGAGGATTTTACCTTTATGCACGATTCAGCACCGTGCCATAAGGCAAAAAGAGTAACATCGTACCTGAAAAAAAAAGAAAATTAAAGTACTGAAGTGGCCAGGTAATTCCCAGACCTCAATCCGATCGAAAATCTATGGGAGCTTATGAAGAGGGGGTTGCCCAGGAAATTGTCACAAATAAGCAGCAGTTAATTGAGAGACTCATTGCCACCTGGCACAGAAACGATAAAATAAAAGAAAACTGCCTGAGAAACATTCAAAGCATGCCAAGGAGGATCAAAGCTGTCATCGAAGCTAAAGGAGGTCACACAAAATATTTAAAAAAAAAATGTTATTTAAGGTCAAAGAAAAAAATATTTTAAAATTTTGTAAAAGAACGTGTTTATGATCTATTTTTATATTATATTCACATTATTAGACACTCATATGTAGTTTCATTCTTTATTAAACAGTAAAATATAAAGTTTTTTGAAGTGATCATAATAATTTGATCACCCACTGTATATATATATATATAATATATATATATATATATATATATATATATATATATATATATGATTTCATTGATTTCAGTTGTTTTCCGGGTTTGACTCCGCGTTAAGTAATTTACTAACGCGGAGTCAAACCCGGAAAACAACTGAAATCACTTATAGCTCCCGCGGAATATTTATAAAGCTCCCAATTTATAAATGTATGTTATTTATATCTAATTATCATAAGAAAAAACGGCAACTATCTTTTAAATTTAGTGTATATTTGTTAAGAAGCATGTCAGAATCATTTTTTATACGTGTTTTCATCACAATAAAAGAACATTAGTAAAGTAATGTTGTGTTTTAGTTTGATTGTATGATACAGTTGGTTTTGTTCTTCTGGTTGTAGATCATCACAAGAAAACTTGTTTTCTGGTCAAAAGTGTTCTTGTTGGTTTTGATCTCCTTTTTTGAATAGTAGAATTAGTTCGCTGGTTCTTAATTCTTCCGGTATTTTATTGTGTTTTATAATTTTATTATTAAATGTTGTTAAGATTGTTAATGTTATTATTTTTAATTAAAAACTACCACATTAAGATATAATATGACCGTTGTAGACTGACCGTTGCGTTGCTGCAATAACGTTTAAACACACGTGAATCGTGCATCTAGTGACAGTCCTTTTAAAAAACTTCTTAGTTCCGACGCTGATCTGACACCAACAGTTGTGCGATGGGAATAAGGGATTAAACTGACGGTAGGAAACAACAGGTGCGAGGTCAGGGAGTACGGCAATGAAATGTTTTTGTCTATTGAATTTTAATGGCCACTATCTAAATCTGAGATATTATCATCGGTTGTACAATTATAATTTACTATGGTCTGGTTGGCCGATTTCGAGAGCAGTGATGGTTTACTCTTAAAGAGTGTTTTCTGTGGAATTGCAATAAAATGAGATTCTATAATTTTGATCAATTTTATTTGAAAATTAGTCTAATTAAAAATTGAAAACAAATTAACACGTTCGCTACCAAGGGGGTACTTAAGTATCATCCTTATAGATCATGTATAGGGTATCATCATCACAGTCATTAACATCTTAGTAGATGTGTTGTGGTTCATAATTGGGCTTCAGCAGCTCGGACAGTTTGATTGATAATATTTCTCCACTGGTCGCGGTCATCTGTTATATGTATTGCCTCAGTATACTGTTTATTGAGAAGCTTTTTAGTAATGTCCGCCCATCGCTGTGGAGATCTTCCGCGTTGACGTTGAGTCTGAGGCCTTCCTTGGACCACCAACCGCTCCATTTTGTGATCACTTCGATGGATATGGCCAAAGAACTTTTAAAATCCTAGAGTAAACGGTACTAGAGAGACGCTGATCCGGTTTAATTTCATCCAGAACCGAGATATTTGTACGGCGATCCGTCCATGGAATTCGAAGCAGGCGTCTCCATGTCCACATTTCAAAGGCGTCTATACGTCGTCGATCTGATTCTTTGACTGTCCATGTCTCGCATGCATAGTAAAATATGGAAAAGACCAGAGTTGAAACGAGTCTCTTTTTGTTTGTCATAGTAATGTGACGATCACGCCAGACCCCGTTTAGTTCACTCATTGCTGCTCTTGCTAGTTGAATGCGTCTTCTAATTTCGGATTCACAACTGCCTGGTGTTGTTTACTAGTATAGGGTATAGGTTAAGTCAAATATTTGATTTTACCCTATTATACTGCCCTCCTAAGCAAAAATGGCATATTTCATTTTTTTTTTTGAAAATGAGATTTTGGTGGATTAGTATTTTTAAACAACTTCCTTATCTATATACCAAGCAAAAACGCCATATCGCAAGTCAAAGTACTTCAAAATCACTTATTAAAAAAGACGTATCTAAAAAAAGTCATGAAATCCTAAGCAAATTTACCATAGGTATCTCATTTTACTTAGCATAAAGCTCGTAACTCTGAAATGCGGTCATTTCGCTACCTGATGCACAAACTGATTGGTCAGCTGTGATAAGGAAAATAGACATATCTAAACATATTTATACGTCCAAGCCGCTAGGTAAATCAGTTGTATAGTGTAATCTTACGGAGTGAATGAATGTGGACGTGTTTAATAGTTCATTTAAAATTTGTTTATAAACCTATAATAATTAAGTGCCTATAAGTAATTAAGTAAACCTATAATAGTTGAAGAATTAGTTCCGTGGCTCCTGATTTGTAATTACTACTCTCTTATAGACACTCTTATAAACACTCTTCAGGTAAACATTATTCACTTATTAAACAACTTATTTGATGCTTTAGCCCAAAACATGGTGTTAAAGTCAGTTGTCGAGAATCCACAGAATTGACAAATCTGAGAGACAATCTTTTATACTCCATCACGTTTCTGAGATAACTATTAAACAAAGAACTGTACAAAATAATAATAGCTTTAAACGAAACCACTCCTTTAAGTACTCACTAAAAGAAATGACGGTACAGCTCAAACGGTTTGTAAGTTTTTCTTTCTAACCACTCTTTCTAACTCAGTGGTTAGCCCAGCTAAAGACAAAAGGTGTCTGAAGAAATCTAGAAATAAAATAGATGATGAGCCTATTAAAACTCATATTAATTCTTTCAAACCTACCATTTCTCATTATAGAAGAGAACATGGCCCTAATAGGTTGTATCTAGCAAGAGATTTATCATTTGTTTCCATGTGTAATGATTTTATAC